GTGAAAATCCAGGCAGTTTTCACAAAACACTGCCCTTCCTTTTAGTATGGGAGCTCTCATGTGTAGTTGCCTATTTTAAACCAGGACACTAGTATTATGCGGGTTAATAACATAAGCAAGGTTACAAATAAGCGGAGTTCATTCACTTGTATGCATATTTGTTCGTAAATGATAATCCTGCCATTTCTTGGAAGAAACCGGGGTTTCAGCTTCAACAAGATGCCTGATGAACTTATTCCAGACTCCCATAATCCTCCGTGTAAAACGAAGTGCCTCGTGTTCTCAGTTTTAAATGCTTTTCCCTGCATTTGCGGCTTGTCTTCTCTGGTTTGGATTGAATTGACTTTGTTGGTGCCCTGGAATATTATGTATACTTGAGATTAAGAGACTCTTACATATGTTTTCCTCGATTGTGAAAGCTTTTTATTTTATTTTTGAAGATTTCTGAAGCATGTGGTTCAGGCGGCATGGTGCACACACACAGCCTTACAGCGCTGGAGCCCTGGGTTCAATCCCTGGGGTGCTATCTGCGTGGAGTTTGTATGTTCTCCCTGTGTTTGCGTGGGTTTCCACAGTCCAAAAACATACAGGGAGTCTGGTGTGAGTGTTTATGTTGTGTGTGCCCTTGATGGACTGGTGTCCTGTCCGGGGTGTATCCTGCCCTGTGCCCTTGGCTTGCTGGGATAGGGAATTCACTTGAGTTGGATGAAACACTTAGAAAATGGAAGGTTGGATGGATGGCATTTGGTTCTTCTAGAATGATGTGCACTTACAGTCTCTGGTGTATACAGCTCTGCTCCAGATTGTGCAGACAGATAGGGACCAGGCAGAGGTCTAATCAAGACTGCAACCTGAGCTGGGCTGAACTGAGCTCTCTGGACCCAGCAATTATCTTATCTCCCATTGTACTTTACTGTAATTCTCTTCTCATGATTGATGATGTCTCTGTCTGATTAGTGCAAAACAAAAACCAACAGATCAGTTTCCCAATCTGCAGCCAGGGAAGAGTAGAGAATCAACCTAGATCAATTTTTTCTACTTGTAATGAAGTCAACAAAATTACTGTTGCTAACTTGTTTTGTTTTAGGCATATGTGCAGATATGTAAATAGTTATTACTTAGCACTTCAGGGATTTAATTTTTACTACTGTAATTATAATTGTAGATTGCAGTTCAGTGCATATTGTGTGGTCTTGATATTTCACAAAATAGATAGGAGCATTCAGCACTGAAAGCATGCAGAAAAACTGGTTGAAGGTCTAAGCTGGATCAATGCATCTGTTTCTCTCTCTGTTCTGTCAGACCATTTTCTTAAGCACATCAATTTAAATAAAAAACAAACAAAATGGGACCACTGGAGTCACCCGTCACTCAGTCACATACATTGAAGAGTGCAGATCTGAGTCACTATCACAGAGGCATAGCCCCAGGACCTAAAACATGAGTGGATTTTCTGTGTGTGGATATAAATGGATAAACTGGGTATCCATTCTGATAACCAGTTGTGACACAGAATGACTTATGAATAACTTAAAGAGGTGTGTGGTTTTCAGTTCCTTGTTTTCCAAAAATTAATTTATTAATTTTATTGTTGGGTAATAGGACTGTAAAACTGTAAAACATCCAGCTCTTGCTTAATTCGTCTTAAAGCCTTCTGAGTTGTGGCTGTCTGTGAATGAGGATGATCATCTCTCCTGTATGTTTAGTCCACCGTCATCAAAGGTGAGCTGCCTCTCTCTGTACTGAACACCCATGATGTAATATGTATTGATATGGTTAAATAAGATGATATTGATCAATCTTCAGCCATTACCCACATGTGAGTTACAGTGCAAGTAGAGTAAGGCTAGTTTCTATAGTCTATCTAGTATCTATTCTATACTCACAATGAACTGAAAACATACTGTAGAACCACGTAACTGCTGCTGTGCTCCAAATACAATCATTCAATTTAGAGCTCAACTACCTGAGTTTGAATCTTTTACACACAGGCCCCTTCAAAGAGAAGAACAGGGAAACTCAAAAATGTATCTTCTGCTGCTGTGCTCCACATCACAATCATTCCTTTTTTAATCTAAATTAAAGCCCCATCCAACCCCTTGTGTTACCATCAATGTCATGATGCAGACAAAACATGTTAGGGCAAATAGACCTGTTACAGATGCGTATTCTAGTGTCCAGTTGCGTGAGGAAATCATGTCACCGGAACAGCTAACCTGGTTATAGCCCAAGTCAAACAACAACCCTGCCTACCTGAATTCTACACGCAGAAGGCAGTATTCCTACAATGTGCTGTTCCATCAAACTTCAGCACCTGAAATGTGTCCTCATCGCAAAATGCTTTAAGGTCAATAGTGTCACAAACCCATCTTCACTAAAATCATGGAATACCAAATTGAAATTCACAGTCAGCTGGATGATTTGTCTTATTCTTATTGTTCATTTATGTCAACTCTTTGATTTCAGAAGTACAGGTAGACATCCTAACTACTTAAGGTTCATGCCCCTTTTTGTAAGAGTAGGGGTGTTAATCCCAATGAGGCAGATGCTTAGTAAAAATGAACAGATTAGTCATTGAGAAATCAACTCTACTACCTGGGATCAGATGGTTACCTGCCCTCGTATAGACTTTTCATAAGGTGTATTTTGTCTTGCCACAGCCTCCCCATGGAGAGAGATGCCTCATTATTGATGGCACTCTAACAAAGCAACCGAACACTCAATGCCACTGGTGCAGGTTCTAGTTACAGGAGTGAAGACACACAGCGATCCTGTGCCACTGTCATTTCTGACCTCATATTGCAGGTCGCTCTCAGAATCACATTAAACTTGCAGGGAGCCCAAGAGCCTTAGTCAGGAGTGTTAACAGCACCATTGTGCACAGCCATCCTTCTCTGAGGGTGCTGTAACTCAGCACGACAGTCGATCCCCCCATCTCTCTCTCCCCCCTGCTATAGTGACACAGTAACTCTGGAGCAGGACAAGGAGCCCTCATATCTAATACTTGCTTTGTTGCAGCCAGTTTAATGATAGCTTGCACAGAATTGGGCTGGAACTGGATACCTCTGTCCGCCAGGTCATCTTTCTTGAGCGTGGCTCTCCTTTGGGAGGTGTTAGCCATTTTTGTCTTAAATATGTTTTCTCTTAATGGAAGCCAGATCTTAAGCAAGGAGATTTGTGGTTCTTATATCATTCCTAACACTGGAGCTTGCTATGGCAATAAATGGCAGAAGAGCATGATCTTTTCCTGCAGAAGAATGTGCACTATGTAACATTATGATCTAGAGGCTCTAATCAAACTACATATTTAAGCTTACAAATATATTTCTATTAGATATGAAACAGCATCTGATACACTTTAATGCTCAAGGATAATGTTAAAATTCACATGTTCAGAAAACAGATAAAACTAAATGGATTCTCTTTACACTGACCACTGACAATAGAATGAAACACATACTGTACAAGCAGTGTGGCATTTTGCTAAGCATTGCTTTACCATTGCTGTTGTGGGATTGAGCCAATAACTCCTTGCATGTCTGTCACAAGCACTTGCCACTTGTTCTCATAGCATTAGTACAGGTGAGGCCCCAATCAGGTTTAATTGGATCGGCATGGCTCTTGTCTGTGTGATGGGATTGTAAATGGAGCAGATGATCACATTAAAGATGTACCACTCTCCTGCTAACAGGCTCCTTGTTCTCTGCTGTTCAAAAACTCTTTTTAAATGCCTTCTTAAAGGAATGTTTTTTTAATGTACTGGTCTAGTAGGAATGTTGCACCACAGCCACTTTCAAAATACTGTAGGGATTCACAGTTCGGGGCCACTGTTAACCTCAGAGCTGCCCAAGAATGAGGTTTCCACTATTGGGCTGCGGGTGAAAGGTCAGTGACGAACAGTATATAAGGAAATCATCAATGGCCATTGCAATTCAACAACAAAGAAGCTAGTGATGATCATTTTTCTCAAACTTTTAAAATGCTGAAGTGCACTGATCAGAATTGATTGCTGAAACGCCTTAAGTTTAAGTATGTATTTACATGCATCTCTTTCATCTGCAAGAGGACAGATTACACACTTACTAGTGAATTAGCTGTATTGTCTCCAAGAGATATTCAGCCGGTGAATCTATAAGAGGAAATAATTTAGTCCCAAATCTCACATACAGTACAGAGGTGTAGCACTCAAGGTGACTAAAATATAACGTGGGGTGTTACTGGAGTGTTCAGGGGGATCCCAGAAAGAGAAAGTTTGCATGCAAATGTTCTTACAGTCTCAACAATCTTTCTTTGTGTTGCTCTTCATTCTCAGTGAAATGGAAAGCGTATTTTTCAAAGCATGCAAATTGAGTATCAGTGGTGTGTGTTTGATCAGAGGGTAATTCCATGAAAACACACTAGGCATTATCAAACAGGCTAGCAGGAGCAATGAGAGGTGTGGTCTGCCTTTACACCCCATGACCCTGGTACACCTTTTTAGCAGAAAAAGATTTTTATTTGAAGGGTTAGCATCACTATTATTTTTTATACCATTTCAATGTGGAATTGCCAAATGTTGCTTGACTCAGTTCACTGGTAGGCCCTGTACACACACGGAAACTGGGATTGTGAAAGCTCTCCTCTAACAGCCCCGGTCTCTCACTGATGCCACTACCTGATGATACGCCCACAGCAACACCCAGGGCTTATTTTTGCACAACTGTGCAGCACGTCCCCATCTAACCCCACCAGTCACATCTTGTTCAATGAAACAGAGACTAAATAGCTATAAAGCAGAAGATAATTTGTTTCTTTGTTAGTATTTCTCATGCTTGTTTAATGAACAGCACTTATGATAAGATTAAAATGCATTTCTGCTTCATAAAATACAGTGCTTTTTACCAGCTCACAGGAACCTGATAACGGCACCCAGCCAGAGTGGATGTATCAGCGCCAACTCTGAGCAACAACAGAAAATACCACTGTCTGTGAGGAAGAAATGATGAAAGAAAAGAACAACAAACAATAACAACATTGGGTTTTATTGGAATTCTTAATAAGCTTTGCAGAACGTGTAATTAGAGTGTAATCCTTCAGAAGTTGCAATTGGTTTTGCTAGCCTGGCAACAGCCCGCATTAGTGCAGTCCAAACGTCAGCCAGATATTTAGCACTAATAGCTCAATCAATAAAGATCACAGCTCAGACATCTGTTGTAGTTTGTCTTTAAACCCCTTCAATGTTTGAGTCATAGTGTTTGGGTTAGTGCTATTAAAATGATTACTTCTGTAATAAAGTGAAAAAAAAATAGTATTTTTCTCAACAAAGAAATAAAACCATTCCAGCCATTACATTACAATTACAAAGCCCCGAGCCAACTGCTGCATATAATGTTTGGAAGTTCTTTCTACAGTATATGTATATATGCTGCATTGTACATGCAGCAAATGCTATAGATTAAAGTACTTCTGCAGAATACAGAACTGTTCAGACTGCAAATTCACACCACAACTATTGTAAATGATGTAAAATATAAGTAGCACAGACAGCTTGAGTAAAGTGTTTCACTTACTGGGACAAAATGAATCTGTTGTGGTCAATATAGTACTGGATCTGTAGACTTTGTTGCTAATGCTTTCTCAGCGCTGACCTTATATGAATATCCTGTGCTTCTTTTATTTTTCCTATTGTAATGTTAATCTTAAACTTTCTAGTTTCTAACTAAAATTGTAATATTTAATCTCAGTGACTCAGAGTAACACATAATTAAAAGAACTTGTGCTACGGAATTTTCATAGCAGATCTAAACTGCACACATTTGCACTACCTTGAAAATACACTGTAAAGTGATAATGAAAATATACCAGCCATATTGTTATTGAGGAATGGAAAAATGGAACACAACACAAATGGAAAATTAAGACACTGCTAAAAAAAGGCATTTCTTTCATCATAAAAATCAAATTCTATTCAGATAATTATACTGCTTTAGGAATCCACTGCACAGTAATTATTTGTGTTCCGCAGAGCTCTCAGGGGGAAGGTACTGGGTCCTGTAGGGTCACAGTCCGTCGTACTCGTGCTTGCAGTATCCCACGTAGAGAGGCTCTGCCTGAACACCGCGCCTGACAGGGAAAGCAGCAAGAAGTTACAGCTCAACTCGCTGAGTTTTTATCTTTTACACACAGGCCCCTTCAAAGAGAAGAACAGGGACACTCAAAAATGTATCTTCTGCTGCTGTGCTCCAAATCACAATCATTCCTGAAGGCCTTTTTTAATCTGAGGAAAGCCCCATCCAACCCCTTGTGTTACCATCAATGTCATGATACAGACAAAACATGTTAAGGCAAATAGACCTGTTACAGATGCGTATTCTAGTGTCCAGTTGCGTGAGGAAATCATGTCACCGGAACAGCTAACCTGGTTATAGCCCAAGTCAAACAACAACCCTGCCTACCTGAATTCTACACGCAGAAGGCAGTATTCCTACAATGTGCTGTTCCATCACACTTCAGCACCTGAAATGTGTCCTCATCGCAAAATGCTTTAAGGTCAATAGTGTCACAAACCCATCTTCACTAAAATCATGGAATACCAAATTGAAATTCACAGTCAGCTGGATGATTTGTCTTATTTTTATTGTTCATTTATGTCAACTCTTTGATTGTCAAAAGTAGACATCCTAATTTAAGGTTCATGCACCTTCTTTGAAAGAGTAGGGGTGTTAATCCCAATGTCCTGGCTAAACTCTACCTTGGTCTTCACAATCCAGTCGTCCTAAATTTCCTCTTTTCAATCAACGAAGCAAAGTCTTACTTCGCCAGCTTATCAACTGTTTAATGGAGCTGTTGCACACGTCACCTCCAATCTGTGAAACACTTGGGATACTTTAAGGTGAAAAGCACTGCACAGCTGCAAATAAATAATTAATCAGACTTCTTAATTTATTTGCACAATTAGCGTTGTGACTAAATCATGTTTCATAATATGCTCCCATGCTCTGACACACTAGCGTCTGGGTGCTTGTTTAACGTGACAGAAGCCCGTGTAGCATCCTGCAGCCACGGCTCCCACAGATCATGTGGTGCTTCACTGTACCTGAGCAGCCTGCAGCGGAACTCTGCCAGTCTGGGGTAGGCAGCACGTGCGCTGGAGGTCTGGGTTTCATTGCTCCACAGCCTCTCTGCCACTGCTGAAGCTCTGGGCCTGCACAAAGAGAAGGGGCAGGGATACCGTGTGTTAGCCACAACACAACCTTGAGGTCGGCACCCCATAACCGATAACTTCAAGTGCTGACAGAATAATGATAGACTGATAGGATGACTGTAGGCTAATGTGGACCATAAAGTCATAAAAAGATTTTAAGAGTAACAAATACTTTGGGCTGTAGTTAGTCGTTTTAATTCTCCAGTGCAGTTGGCCACCCCTGCAGCTCAGAACTGGCAGCCCCCTGAAGCTCAGCAGGTGTGAGTTTGGTCAGTACCAGGATAGGAGACTCCTGGGAAAAACTAAGGTTGCTGCTGGAAGAGCTGTTGGTGGGATCAGTAGGGGGCGCTCACCCTGAAGTTTGCGAGGGTCCTAATGCCTCATTATAGTGATGGGGAAAATATATCGTAAAAGAGGCACCTGACTCTCTGTGGTCAATAAAAATCCCAGGACATTTCTTGAAAAGAGTAGGGGGTGTTACCCTGGTGCCCTGGCCAAATTTCCCATTGGCCTTGAAAAGTTTATTCCATGCAGAAAAGAGAAGAAAAGGGACACCATGTTTCGGCTGTGGAGCCTTCTTCGGGTGGTAAAAGTCCGTCTTACCAAAGTCGAGGACTGAGGTTGGTGGCATCAACATACTCCCCCCACATGCAGGCTTCTCCTCCCATCACCAGTTTCTTCTGTTCGGGGGTTCCTGTGAGCACAGACAAGCACTGCGGGTGAGGCTGCTTGCTCTGCATTCATCCCATCACCTCTCAGTAACAACCCATTACTATGACACTGCACAGCACAAGGCACAACCACGGGACGCCACTAGAGGGCACTTCCACCAAAAAATGACAAAAGGCTCACTCAGCTGTATCATACGATAGTCAGTCAGCAGAAAAGTACATAGCAAAGCACTGTTCAGTCCACCTGTGTGCATACTTTGTAACAGACAACAGTAAAAGGGATGAGTGATCACACAAACGAACGTCATGCTGACAACTGGCAAAAGAGCATGATTACGACACAATGAACATTAAGCCCTGAGAACAATGGGCTTAAACCTGAAAGCAGGTGCTAATGTTGCAATGCTAAGTTAAACAATACTATAATTATAAGTAATTGTACTAGAATTATGTTGAATAGGATATACATATTTACCATTTAAAACTGTCTTTAAATTAAAATCAACTAAAAATATTTTTATTTCTATATTCTCTTACACATATCACAATCGGGAACGGTTACCATAAAAAAACTTCAAGATTAACAATCCTCAGTCATTTTCTTTTTCAAGAGAAGGATGCTGCAACCTATCTTAATAAACTCCAGCAACACACAGAGTAACTGTATCTGGGAAGGCAAGTCATTGGTCCTCCAGCAAGAAAACCCCATTCAAGCCACTGAGAATCCCCACATACTGTAGGGCCGACATTCACAGTGCGGCCAGTGCCCACACTGAAGGATGGAGCCCCTTTGAGAGAAGGTGGGGCAGAACGAGGAACAGAGCTGCACACACCGGCGAAGTTCAGAGGCTGGACTTCATACGCGGCTTGCCAGTCCTGGCCATAGTGAATGACATTGAGGTACCAAGGAGTAGAGAGCAAGACTTTGAGGCCCTTGGCTGTGATGGAGCTCATCTCATGGAGGTACTGTGCTGTATTACCCTTCCACACATGCACGACCGTGTCCTTGGGCACCTGGTTGGGAGGAGACAGAGTAGGGGAATGGTCTTTTCTTCAAGATTAATGCCTAAACAGTCACAAACATTCATCTACAAGTGTAAAGACACATCTCTAGGGAATATTTTATCACATCCTGCATTTGCAGCATCCTTAACTGTACACACACTTAATCATATCTAACTCTTCACCAAGTAACTTTTTAAAATGAATTTGCTGCAATAATACCAGAGAAAGAGGTCGACTTTTAAGCCGAATTACCACCTGGGAGTTAGCTTAGCAGAAAGGCTGGAGAGTAATGGCTAGGGGGCCTTGCAAAGGAAAATTTCTTGAGCCCTGATTCCAAGTATCTCAAGGAGGAGGTGCTGGATGTGTGTTTCAAATACAGCAGTAGCAGGAGCCTTTTGTCACTGTGAAGGTTGTGTTGCCACCTGGTGGTGAGGAAAAGGCGACTCCGTTGTAAAGCAAAGAGGGGCCTCTGTCAACAATTGTGAAGGTGCACACAACACAACAAGCTCTTTCCACACCGGATTTGCAGGCCAGAAAGCAACATCTAAAACAGCAGTTCAAACATTCGGGCATCAAATCTGTCCACAGGGACAAATAAACAAGTGTTGCACTTAACAGGATGATTTTTCTAAGACCTCCAATTCTGAAATCCTTTCATAAGCACGAGAATTGGCTACTGACAGTAAACATGTAAAACTGTCAAGATGTTTCAGAAGCATGACAATAACCTAATTTTAAAAGGTCTGTTTTTCCTAATGTAATACTTCCA